GGGCCGGCCCCAAGGCACCTCAATCCCAAGGCCTGGCCCGAGTCTCAGTTTCCCTGGGACATAACATGCCCACGGAAGAGTGGCTACTGAGCACCTTCTGGAGAAGCCTTTCTAACGTGGCTATCTGTCCTGCTTACTTCTGCAGTCTGTATTTATTTTTAAAACACACAGACTTTTTTTCCCACAAAGGAGTCCAAGAGTTATAGTTAATAGGAATCTATAGTAAATAGATGAAAGAAACTAAAGCAGAACAACCTGCACATATAAGTTAAAGGAAACGCACACGATCTTAATGCCTTTTTATTGGTATAGTATTTATGGAGGTTTGGAGCTTTTGAAGTCAATAAAGTGTTTTCATTGGTCGTCAGAAGATTTTCAGAATTCAAGATAATTAGCAATTTCCAAACTGTATTAATGCCAAGAGTGTTCTGGGATATATTTCATTCATTCTCAAGAATGGATAGAAATAACCTAACTCTGGCATCCCTGTGTGTCTAATTCCTGTTTTGCATTTAAAGTCTCAAAGGACGTCTTTATGTCCTTTGATGAAGTTGCCCTATTTGGTTCCCTCTGACTCTAGAGAGGGGTCCCAGGCATCTTCTGGCTCTACGTCTGGTCCTGGCCAGGGAAAAGCCTCGGGCTCTGTATCAAAGTTTGTCCTGATGCCGTCTCCATACCTGCTGCGGGGCACACGGCCTGGTTTCCATTTCCAGTAACCTAGTCCCCTCGTGCCCAGTCCCAAGGTCTTGCGTCCCCTCAGAGTGAGTCAGGATTTTTGTCCCTTCTTGCTTTGCTGGACTCTGCTTTCCCACCCGGACTTTGCTAGAATACTTGCTTTCCCTTGCCGATATGAATGCTGTGCTGTTGCTTTTCAGATTTTTAACATCGAATTCCCCGACCTAACTGAATTCTGCACCCCCTGGCTGCTCCGTCCTGTCTTTCTACCCCCTCTCCCCAACCCAAGACTGAAACCCACACTCAGCGTTTAACTCCACCAACATTTTCAAACCCAGTTTGGGTTCTGATAGCAGAATGCCCCCTTCCCCCACGTCAACACAGGAAAGTATTTTTATCACTAACATTTTTCAGAGTTGCCTGGGAAAGATGATTTTTTTTTTAAAAAGACTCATTATTCAGTTTCATTATTTTAAACTTATGCCTCTATTGCCTGCACTTCGATCCCTGATCCCTCTGCCCCCTTCCTGGTGCTCTAGGTCTCCACCGGGAGAATCACGGAGAAGGTGCCAGCTGCTTTCTGACACAAAGGGTGGATGGCAGGTGGGACAGGTCCCAACTTTTACGACGCAGCTTCTCAAAACTCTGAACTATTTGCCACTGGGAGGGGAGGGGGTGGCTTTGGGTAACGTGGTCTTAGAACTTTTCCCATCACTGGGCAGTATAACTGTAGTTACTGACCACAAACCTAGTTCTGAAACAGTTTCTACGTTCTGCTTTTATTATTTCATCTTTGTCTAGACCACAGCCTAGACTTGTGGGAATACTGTAGGCTTTAGAATCAGACAACCCTCGGTTCAAACTCTGATTTATCAGCTGTATTATCTGGATTATTTAACCTTTCCAAAACTCAGTTTCTCTATCTGAAAGTGAAAATAATGCAACAACTCCACATTTTAGTCGTGGGAGATTAAATGAGATCACAATTTATTCTTTCCAATAAGTACCTAGGGGGCCTATAGATATGTACATACAAAAAGATGCAAAATAATCACATAATGCATATCCCAGTAGGTCCAGATACAACTGCCTGAGAAACAACGCTGACAGCTAAGGTGGACTTTTGCCACTAGACACAGGTGCTGCTTTAGGGTCTGGACTTCATCGGTGAGAGAACCAGAGAAAAGTAAATTAAGACAGTGGTTCAAGGTGAGAAGATGAGAGCTCTAGGAGAGCACTTAAGAGAGCTCTGGGGCCCACAGCCTCGGCTGAATGGAATAAGGGGAGCATGAAGGGCTCATCCTTCCTTTTTCCTCTCCCTTATTTCTAACTAAAGGGCTTGCCAGAGGCGAACATGTACATTCAGGCAAAACTCACAGTGGGTTGCTTCAACATCATGATTATAATCTATATGCCATTGATTTAAAAAGTTAGAGTTACTGGTTCTTTCTTTTGTTCATTCTTCATACCCTATAAAACCTGAGGAGCAAAATATTATATAGGTGCTATTTATGTTGACTTTTTACTGAATGTTTGCTTTTCTAATTATAAGAGGATCAACATTATAACCCATGCTTCCTTCAGCTGACCTCGCTCTTCTTTACTCCTCAGACACCTGTGAAATCTTGGCAGCCAAGCACGGTAAAGGCTTTAATTTTCTCAATGTTTGAAATATGAGCAGTAGAATCTATAGCTTCTTCCTAAGCCTCCTGAGTTACAGAAGGATTTGGTTATTTTTATTATAGCCTAATTTAGCTGAATGCTACTAGAATCGTAATTCAGCACTGCATCATCTCCCTAGTGAGAGGAAACATGGACAAATAAGTTGATCAAGAAAGGGACAGCCACACATTTTGAAATTGGAATCTGACTGTGTAGTAGCAGGCTTCGAATGCCACCCGTGGGGCACTCTCTCTGGCTTTTTCTTGGCATTCAGCTTTGCCTAGTTTCCTTTTACATTCCTAACATAAAACAAAATTGGCCTATATTACATTTTTTTTTCTCTGTGGTAAGATTATTTTACAAAAATTATTTAAATCTAGCAAAACTCTATTTCATTTTATAAAATCAGCATATTTATGGTTCTCCATTGCCTTTAAGATTTTTTTCAACAGTAATTAAAACTTTAGCAGGTAGTTCATGGTAATTGCACTGTTTACATTTTCTAGAAAATTACCTAAAATGATTATAATGATTAGAAATTTAAAATTAGGCAGGTCAGATACAGGATTTCTAATTTACATTCCTCCTCATATGGTTCTCATAATATACTTTGGTTGATCCCCTACCAAAATAGCATTCTCCCCGTTCCCCTTTCTTTTTGTCTTTCCCTCTCTGGCCATACCATCATCACTCCAGCTTCAGCTTCCTAGTCTGGACCCCCAAACTCAACCCTCATAACCCTGAGCAAACATCACAGCTGCCCTATACACCTGTTCAAAATACATATACATACTGGCATCAAAGATATTTTAAACACACCTTGCCCTGGAAACATATTACTTCATAATTTATTGTTAAAATTTCATAAGCAAGTTCTGTTTAAGAGAACTTGTGAACCAGAATGGTTTAGTTTATTTTTCAATAGATATATATTGAGTACACGGTTTTGAGTACCAGAGAAACAGCAGATCCTTTCTGTAAGTTAAACTTGCTGATAATTATTTATCACTATATGGAACTGTCCATGATTTGATAACATATAGGAAAATCTGAAGATCATACAGGATATTCCCATAGATTTTCTTATGAGGTAACCTAGCTTATCTCAAAAGAAGAGATATTTGATGTCTATAAAATCTAAATAAAATTATATTTTTAAGCATTCAAATTGTTTTGGTATCCTCAGGAGACATCACATTTCTTCTTTTCTCAAAACCTACCTGATACTTATATTTAAATCAAGGATTCCCATGTTTTTTCAAAGGAAAACCTATTTATCTATCACTCTCATTAGTTGTAGGAACTCAGGACCAAAATAACACATGACTACTCTAGCCAGAAGAAGTTAACACAGCAAATCAGTGGTGCAGAAGGAGGGGCCTGGTGGTTGCAGAGATTAGTGCAAGAACGCCCAGGCCTAGAGGAAGATGCACTGGCAAAGTCAGGCTGATCTGCTCACCTTTGCACGTGGCTGGGTGTAACAACGACACACTCACCGTACTGCGTCTGGTTTAGGATGAGACATTTGGCTACCTCTACCGTAAATTGTATAACAATAAATTATAAGAAACTTAAAAATAACTTATGAGTACTCTTATTTTGTATGGCAAGGCAAGTCCCTCATAATACACTTCACACTGAATATTTATTCCTCAAAACAGACTCACTAAAGTATTTAGCATTGGGCTATATATTATACATTATGGCTAGAGAACACCTTTTTCTAAAGGAGATGTCCCTTAACGAAAACAATATAAACAGATAGGTTCTTTCCAAATATGCTTATATGCAGCTCACACTATAAAAAGAAATAGCAGTCTAGGTGAATTAGTAAAGAAAATAAAAGCCTACAGCTCACTGCTACTTATTTATATTAAACATACTTCCTGTCCTCCACATAACAAAGTCGTACATCTTGACAATGTGCATTCCATGTGAAATTCTTTGTTAAGTTACAGTTATTCATTAGGTAGACCTGGGGCTGAATCACACACTATATTGCTATGATTGTTAATAGGAAATTAATAAAGAGCTCATCAAAGCAGACCAACCGATGGTGATTAATAGTCATTTTCCAAGCTCTTCCACTATTTAGTTTAAAAATTTAAGATGCTTCTACTAAAAGCCATTGGTCATTTGGGCAATAGCTAGAATATTTACATGTGTCCTTTTGGAATCAGAGGGACCTCACTTAATTGACAATGCAATGCAAAATATTGATTAACCATGATTTAACTGATAATGCAGATAATGCAATGTATATTTTAGCATAACTTACTGCTTCTCTTTATCTGTCAACATAAAATTCTTATTTATATTGGAATCCCACTCTCTAAGACAGACATTATGTGGTTAAAAGTTGACTAGTGCTCAGCAAGTTTAATTTTTTTAATAATGAATATAGAGGGAGGACTAGCTCTACAGAATTTTTCCTTACTGCTCAATATCATGATTCAGTTACCCACAGCATATCAGTATTAGAGATGGACTCATAACGAAGGCAGGAATACCTATATTCTGTACACAGATTTCTAAATTAAAGAGAGATCGACCATTTACTATCAAGTTCAAGTACAAAAAGAAAATGATATCCTTGCAATCTAAGCAAGATCACAACTTACTATTGAAATGTATTTACATAAAAATAACTAAACCAACTTTACCTTATAAATATCCAAAAATCCACACTGGTGATCGAATCTGGTGTACAGCTCATTCAGCATGCTGATCACCTGCATGGGGGTGCACTGAGCGCAGACGGCCGTGAAGCCAACGATGTCCGAAAAGAGCATGGTGACGTCGTCAAACTTCCTGGCCTGCACTTGCTGCCCCTGCCACAGCTGCTGGGCTACATCGCCAGGGAAAATAGAATACAGAAGATCCACTGTTTTCTTTTTCTCTTCTTCCAGGGCCTGGTGAGTTCTTTCTAAAGTCGCCTTTAATTTATCCATTCTCTTCTTCAAGCCATCTTGGGCCTTTGCCTGCTCACCAACCAAAATGACATCTCGGGTGGCATCATGGATGGGGATGTCTGAGAGATGCAGTCCCCGGCCCATGAGTTCATCCAGCTTGTCCACACATGGGGAGCCCAAGAATAAAATGGAATTTGATTCTGGGACATGAATCATTTGTCCTTTGACTTCCATCACCTGCAAAATTAACATGGAATTTTGATCAGTGCTCTTCACATAGCAGAGTCACAAAAAATCATTTATTATCTGACAAAGAGGAAAAACAGGAAATGTTTTATTAGCCATACTGACTTTCTGCATTCGTACAAGCAAATTTATCTACGATTCACAGCCAGTGTAAAATTCATGGTTCTGAATAGAAACATTTGCTATTGTCTTCTACTTGGCCACTCTCTAAAGACAAGGAGGAAGTGAAAAGTGAGATCAATGACAAATGAAACAGGAAAACATTGTCATTCGGAATGAAATTAAACCCAGGGACATAATGAAACTGGTTCATGAGCCACTTTGAAAACCTTCAATCTTCTTAATAATAGCAGAATAACTACATTTAACTGTCATTAAAATAATACTCAGAGAATAAATCCAGGAGATTAAAATAAATCAAAATAATTGTTTGGCCTTATGGAAGTCATGTTTCCACCAGTTATAGCCCTTTGAATATATAGTAGTCTTTGCACTGACTATATTAATGGACAATTCACTTGGCTTTAAAAATAAAAATTAAAACTAGATATAATTAAGCTAGTATTATCAGAAGTAATTCAACCAGCATGTTCAAGATAAGCTAAAAATAAACCCCCTACACCAAGAGAGCACTAAAGAAATTTAGTTAATATAATAAAGATCTGAAGATATAGTAACTTAAATCTGCCCTTCCTTCCTGGGCTCTTTGATGAATTTGGGGAATTGAGGTTTAATGGAAAACTTAGTGAACACAGGCTTATGCCATCTTAGCTTGGTGCCCACTCAGTCAATACGTACCAGTAAGAAAGGAATGTGGACTTAAGATATGGCTATCAAAACAGTGATTTGGGTTAGAATAAAGTATCTTAGCACACCTGGAGAGGAAAGTGGTTGTAGTTACCTGGAAAGAACAGTCTAAGTGTTGACCAACCAAGACTGTGCATCAGTTTCACCCATGTCACTTTCCGCCACCACATGGAATGCACTCAATGAGTTTATTTTTCTTTATTTTTCATAGCATCAAGTAGTTAGGCTAGTTGATGAAATGAGAGGCACAACTATAGAGATTTGGATTTCAAAGTCTGCAACTGTGATTTACTTTGCCCCACCTGCACTAATCACCAAGATTTAATCTACATAAGAAAATAAAATGGAATCCTTGCTTGATGTTATAATTTCTAGGAGATGAAATGTTCACTTTATCTTATGCAGTTTCTTCTAGTGTTTGGTGTTTTACCCTTTTTTGCATAATACTCTTATTCATTGAGAGTATTTATTGTTTTCTATTTACTGGTACAGCTTTGGAAAATAAGCATAAAAAGATAAAATAAGGTTCTCTTCTCCAAGATATCAGAGCATGGGGATGGGGAGAGAGCCAGATCTATACAGCACACAGAATAGTGTGAACAGGACTGTCTCAGTTCAAAGTGAATTCTCCAAAGACTGCACACTCTGGTTTGAATGCAAAGAAAATAATTGTTCTGAAAAGTATTTCCAGGATATTTTATGTACATCTGATTTGCTTTTGGGGAGAGGGGTGCTGTTAATGATCTAAACTTTCCCACTGGTGGAATATTAAAGGCGGGATAAGGAAGATACACACATAATGTACAACTTCATAGTAAAAAAAAAAATCAGTATATTAATTTTTCCTTAAGATTTAAGGTAAAAGCAAATCTCTGATGTTCAAAGATTTCGACTTCTCCCTGAGGTCTGCCTCCCCCTCCTTCCTCGTATTTCCTTCTAATCCTTTTCTCTCCATTTGCCGTCTCCTTGCTTCTCTCCTTTGCCCTTGGACTTGCACTTTTTCAATGTTCTCATTTCATTCAGTCTCTCTCAGCAGAGACCAGTTTCCCTCATCAGCTCTTCTCTTTCTTTTCCTTTCTCTTTTCTTCCTATGTATCAACCTCCACATTTCCCGTCACAAATAAACCTTTTGTTTCTTTGTGTTTGCCATTCTCTCTGCTATTTAAGATATGGAATTAGTATATGAGTATATGCATAAATATTATATATTATTTGCTATATGTAATAAGTGTTTATCTTTAACTTATAAAGAGGTTGAATGGAATGCTATATTCCTGACTCAAACATATAAAAAATATATATATTTTTTATTTATGTGTCTACTAGTTGGTTTTTAAAAATCTTTGATTCAGAACAGCCTGAGTGAAAAAAAATAATTATTTACCTCCTACACCACAAGAACACAACTCATGAAAGAGAAGCTCCAATATACATAGTAAACAACTTACTATTTTTCATCAGTTAATTTTTTCCTTACTTAATAATTAGGTAAATTCAACTGGAGCATTTGTGTCTCTGTCATAAATGCAGTTTTATTTTTAATTCAAAAATAACAAATTATTCTTCTTGAATTTTGTTTCATTATGATTATAAATTCAGAAGTTCACAATGATCTGCATTTATGAATTAAGCAATGTGCAAAACTGTTATAGGAATTACTTTTTTATGTAGCAGAAACAGATTTGTGTAAAACTGTATTAAATTAAAACATCTCTCTAAGTTTTTAGTGTAGCCTAAATTACATTAACATTTTAATGAAGTAAATAAGGCATAAGAAAAATAAAATGTCTTTAAATCTATGGATTTCAGAAACTGGTAAGCATAATAAAGGGGAATATTTGGTTCTGGGCAAAAAGATTAAAATCATTTTATCACAAAATTTGGTTGTAAGGTTCTGTTAAACTACCTATGTTATTTCTATTTTTATGCATTGATATCGCTCAGAGTATTGAGCACTGTAACAAAAAAATAATTGAAAATTAAGTCTGTACAACTTATATAACTGTACACTATACATTCTTATATTTTTGCACAACCTGAACATGCACTAACCCATGTTTTCACAGACACGCGAGTTTCATAAGATAATCGTTTGTAGCAGTATTATATAAGGGCTGGGAAAGAAGGATTCGGCAGAAGTCAGACCTGGATTTGAATTCTAGCTCTCCTGACACTGAAGTGAGCAAACTGCCTTGGATTCAATTACTTAGCCACTTACGGCCTCAGTTTCCGTATCTGTAAAATGGGGGTGATGGTGAAGATGATGTCGGTAAGGATGATGCTGGCAGCCAACTCAGCACATCCGTCGAGTACTTGCTATTGGCTGAGTATTATGCTGAGCACTTGCTTTACATCTTGTTGTTGAATTTTATTTATGTTAGCCATTACTATCCTCATTTTTAGATGAGCTTTAGAAAGGTTAAGAAGCTTGCGAAGAATACACAGCAACATCAGTATTCAAACCCACGCTGGACTGGCCCCGTAGGACATGCTCTCAGCCAGTGGGGAAGCGTGATGGGTAGAGGTTTGGGGGAGGCAATACCAGTTCTAAATATGAATCGCTGTGATGGCGAAATACCCCTACTGAACTGTTCACAATGGACAGTTAAAAAGAGAGAAACTGGCCGTTGATGCAGATGACGCAGCTCCCTGCAGCCTTCCCGCTTCAGTGCAGGCCGGAAGGACGCTCGNTGGCCGTTGATGCGGATGACGCAGCTCCCTGCAGCCTTCCCGCTTCAGTGCAGTCGGGAAGGACGCTCGTTCCAGTGGGGCTGCAGATCTTTCCCATCTCGGGGGTCCGAGGCACGAACGCGCAGACAGGGGGGTAGGTCCCGGCCTCCAGAAGGGCCTCCCGGAGTGGCACCCACTTCTGAAGAACTAGCCCCAGCGGGGAAAAAGCAGGAGACAAGTGCCAGCCCGAGAGACTTCTATGTCCTCACAGGCCAGCGAGTCTGCCCTCTCACGAGCCCCCGGGCCCTCACCGGCTGCGGCCACCAGCGAGAGGGCACGAGCGCGGGCTATCTACTGGGTGCGGGAACACCTCCTTCACGTAAAGGCACAGGACGCCCAGTCTCAGGGAGCTTGTTCTCCCCCTCGGGCAGCATTAACAAGGGCCAGGGGGAGCCCCAGAAGCATTAAATAAGCCATGCGGATGAAAACAGCACCCTCGACGCTCTAAAAATGAGTCATTGCAACTGTAGCTTACAACAGTAGGCAGGACCAGTGCGCCCAACCTAAACAGCGTGGCTGTCTGTTAAAATAAAAAATTTAAATAGGATCTAACGTCTTCCAGCGTAAGAACCAAATTGTCCAGGATATAATAGAAAACTAAACATCATAATAAGACTCAGGAAAATCATATCTTGAATGAGAAAAGGCAATCAATTGATGCCAACACCGAAATGAATCAGATATTGAAATTATCTGTCAAGAATTTTAAAGGAGCTATCATAAAACGTTTCAACAAGCAATTACTAATTCTTTTGAAAATAATGAAAAACTAGAAAATCTTAGTAAAGTAATAGAAGATATTAAAATAACCAAATTACACTTATAAAACTGAAAACATACAACTGAAATAGAAAACTTACTGGGTGGGCTCAAAAACAGAGTGAAGGTGACACAGTGAATTTGAGGATAGTTCAATAGAATTTATTCAATCTGAGCAGACAGATAATAAACTGGGGGGAAAAAGAAACAGTCTCAGAGACCTGTAGGACAGTAACAAAAAAATCTGCCATTTATATCACAGGAATCCCAGAAGGGGAGAAGGAGGAGCAGGGTTGGAAAAGCATTTGAAGAAATAACGGCTGCCAATGTCTCAAATTTGATAAAAGATATAAGCACGTAGATTCAACAATCTATATGAACCTCAAATATGATAAACTCAAAGAAATTCACTACAGGCCATGTCATAAACTTCTAAAATCTAAATTCAAAGAAAATATTTTAAAGGCAGCCAGCGAGAAATGGCACACTACTTATAAGGAACATTAATTTGAATGACAGCAGATCTCTCATCTGAAACTACGGAGGCCGGAAGAAAGATTTTTTAAAATCAACAGAAAAGTGTCAGCTGTGTACTCCACATCTGAGCAAACTATTCTTTAAGAATGAAGGGGAAATAAAGGCACTTGCAGACAGAAGTAAACTAAAAGTCTTTGTCCTAGCAGACCTACCCTTAA